AGATTAACTTTAAAATTAACAAATAGTTTTCATTTTTTGAAATTATTAAGTCCACAGTAGTTAGATTTTTACAAAATAAGGTACATTTTTATCTAATTGAAGTTTCTTGAATGTGGCCTTATTTGATTACAGCTAAATTAATGGAGCCTTCCAACATGAAAATGTTCCCCACCCCTGTAATAACCTAACCTTAAAATATATAAGGCACCCAACTTGGTCTAGAGCTTCAGTGTGATCCCTATCAAAATCCCACCAAGTTATTTTATGGATATCGACAAACTGGTTCTCCAGTCTATATGGAGAGGCAAAGGACGCAGAATCGCCCACACGAGATTGGAGGAGGAGGATGAAGTCAGAGCACAGGAATTACCCAACTTTGAGACTCGATATAAAGCTACAACAATCAAGACAGTGTGGTGTTGGCAAAAGAATAAATACATCGATGGAAGAGAATAGAGAGTCCAGACATAGTCAAGCGATCTTTGACAAAGGATCAAGGGCTGTGAATGCAGGACAGAAAGCCTTTCAACAAACAGTGCTGACCGACCTGACAGCCACAGGCAAAAAAGAAAAAAAGAAAAAAGAATCTAGGATCTAGGCCCAGACCTTACACCCTTCATTCATAAAAATTAACTCAGAATGACTCATAGACCTAAATGTAAAACACAAAATTATAAAACTTAGAAGAAAACGCAGAGGAAAAGCTAGAAGACTTTTGGCGACAGTGACTTTGCAGGCACAACGCCAAGCCTGGGATCCACAAAGGCAGCCCGGGAAGCGCTGGCGTCATCCTTAGCGTTATCGCACGGCGAGTCGTCACGGCGGGGCACTGGGAAAAGTTTCCAATTAGCAATAACCGCGCCTCGGATAAAGCTCCTTGGCTACGACGCCGCTGCTGCGCCACGCGGACAGGCTGGCGTCGCTGAAACCAACGTTTTCCCCGCGAAAGACACTGTCAGGAGAAGACGGGCCACACCTGGGAAAGCATCTGCAGACGACGCATCTGATAAGGGCTGTCATCCGAAATATGCAAAGAACTCTTAAAACTCTACAGGAAGAAAACAATCGACCTGGTTGAAAACAGGCAAAAGAGCGGACGCCTCACGCGGGGAGATCTGCGGACGGCGCCCGAGCACGCGGAGGACGCTCCGCATCGCAGGTCACTGGGGACTTACGAGCTGACCCGAGGAGACACCGTCACGCACCCACGGCGTGGCCCAAGTGCAAAGCGCGGACGTGGCGCGACAGGGAGGCTCACTCGCTGCTGGTGGGAACGCGCCAGGGAGCGGCTGCTTTGAAGGATGGTGTGTCAGTTTCTTATCAAACTGAACATGCTCTTCCACCCACCCAGCAACTGTGCTGCTCGGCATCTACCCCAAGGAGTTGAAACTCACGTCCACACAAAACCTGCACGCAGTTTTTGCAGCAGCTTTACTCGTATTTGCAAAACTTGGAGGCAACCACAGGTCCTTCCGCAGGCACGTGGACCTACCGCGGCACGTCCAGACAGTAGGGTCGTACTCAGTGCTGCTCCCTCTGCGGGGACTCTGCCTTCCAGAGAGCCACAGGCCCGGGAGCTCCAGCCGCCGCCCACCTGGACCCTCAGCTCGGAGTGGCTGGTGCTGGAGCCGCACCTGCAAACACCCACTTGATGGGCACAAGAGGTGACGAGCCCCTGGCCAGAGGTGTCAGGAGTGGAAAGTGTCACAGCAGGTACTGATGAGGGTACAGCCCTCGCCAGGGCAGAGGGGACAACAGGGGCCCCAGGCAGGAGCTGGGGTTGCCTCTGCCGAGAGATGGGACGTGCCCAGCGAGGAGGGGACACATCTTACAGGAAGGGGCTGAGCAGCTGGGCACGTCGGTGCCCCCCCGAGGCACGACAGGGAAGGAGCAGGTTCGGGTAACGTGAAGCAGCAGCTCTGCCTTAGACCCATGAGATGTGAGGAGCAGGGAGACGCCTGGGAGAGTCTGGCGTGAACGTGCGGATGGGCACGCTACCGCGCTACCGCAGTAGAGCGCGTGACTGGAAGACCACCCACCTCAGAAGCTCACCTGGTCACCAGCACCTGGATCAAGGCGGAGGTGCCCTCAAACCCAGCACCCCCGCGCTGCTCTGGCCACTCCCTACCAGGGAACGGTGCCCCGACTTTTGGAGCACGTTTTTCTGCCTTGTGGGCAGCGTCAAACTTCCCTAAGTGGTGTCGTGCAGTGTGGACGCCTGTGTCTGCCGTGTCTGGGAGGCTGGCCTGTGGCCGGGTGTACCACCTCCTACAGCCTTGGGGCAGGTGGCGGCACCAGGACAGGAGTAGCTGGCACGGGGGGGGTCTGGAACCGAGCCCTGGGGAGGGGAGGAGGTGGCCGGCTGGAGGGTGAGCTTGTCCGGCTCCTAACCGGCAGGCACAGGCCATGGCCGCTGGCGGAGGCGTCTCTGACTCCAGCCCTGGGTCAGGGGAGCCAAGGCTGCTCTCATCCACTCGACCCCCAGCGATTGGCGGAACAGCCTCAAACCGGAGGTCTCGGACCTCCCCACCTCGAGAACCACAAGAAACAAACTTCCGCTGGTTACAAGCCACCCCCAGTCTGTGCTGCTTTGTTACAGCAACGGGACAGACTGAGACGTCGCCACCACCCGTCAGGCCTCTGGGAGAAAACGAGAATGCAAACGGCACCCGGTGCTGTCATGAAAACAGTGCTGGCCTTGGGGACACCTGGCAGGGTCCTGGAGCCCCCAGACCACACCCTGCAAAGGCTACGTGGATGCGTGAGGAGCCTGGCAGGCCGGCACTGTCCAGTGGGCCGTTCTTCCAAATTTAATTCGATTCTCTCCACAACCTTCCATTATAAGAGACAGACACACAGACTAAGAAAAATGTTTTTATTTTAAATCAAAGTACCAAGCAAAAGAACATACAAAGCAGAACTCAAACACGGCCCTTCCCCAGGGTGCCTCTGAGCGCACAGAGACGAGCTCTCACTCTCTCTGCAGAAACCAATCCTGCCTCCTCAGAAAACCAGACCAGAGGTGGCCACGAAACCCGTGTTTGTAGGTGGTCGAGAGGCTCTTCCCTTCTAGGTCCTGGTCAGACCCTGAGGGGCAGGACCAGGAGGTCCCGGGAACCTGCAGGGCGCAGGGGCATGCGCTGGGCACGGGGGCGGCGCCAACCTCCTCCTCCCCGCAGCGCATGTGGTGGCCCTGAGGATGGGCCCTTCCCCAGCTGGGGCTCGGAGCCCCTGCCAGGAGCAGCCTCGAGAGCAACAGGCGTCTGCGAGCGGCTTCACGGGAGCACGGAAAGGCCCCCCGGCCCGGGGGAGCGGGCGGCTGGGGTCAATTTGAAGCTGGCTGCGCCGTATCCCTGCGAGGCTCTGGAGTCAACCTCATCCTCCAGGTGCCCCACAGGCTGGGGGCTGGGGGGCAGAACAGGTCCCCCCTTGCTCTTCAACGGAAAGAAAGAACTGACCCACAAGCCCTTCAAGTTCGACTGAGCAAGCGGCTGGGAGGGCGGACGCACGTGCGACCCGGGCAGAGGGAAGCCGCCAGAAGGTGCCGGCTCTCAGGCCAGAGAGCTGCGTCCGTCACGCGGCCGAGCTGGTGGGTGGGCACAGGGCGCCGCTGACGCACGTGACGGGACTCGCACTCGAGGGAAAATGGGTCTAAGAAGGAGTATGTACACAAACACGTAAACATTGTGCAGAAACCAGCTGACTCGTGGCAACAGCCAACAGAAATGTAACAGAAAGAAAATAAAGAAACTCAGTAGCTTGACGAGGGGTGGGGGGCAGGACGGGCCCGTCACAACAGCGCCAAGGTGGGGCCCAGGGCGCTCCATGGACGGACGAGTGGGCAGCCAGTTCCCTCCAGAGCCACCAGGTGGGACCGGGCTCCCTCCCACTGCCGGTGCCCAGGACTACTCCAGAACACACCTGCCAGCAACAGCAGGAGGCCTGGGCTTGCTGCCCCCTGAGACATCAGGCCCCAGAGGCCGTGGCCTGGAGGGCGGCCCCTGCAAGGTTTTCCTCGTGAGACCAGACTGCAGGCAGCCCGCGGACAGCCCCGCACGGCGTGTCTGGGCTGCACCTTCCCCAGCCGGCCCCAACCAGCCTGCCCTGGACAGCCCCCCTTAAATGCCCTGGGCTCTCCCTTGACCAGGACACGGGCTATCGGCCAGGGGACTCCCAGGGGGCCTGGGTACTGGGGGCTGTCACGGTGGCCCCACCAGCAGGCTGCACGCAGGGGCCACACTGAACCTCCCCAGAGCCGGAGGGGCAACCCCCCACAAACCCTCCACGGCGCCTCTCCTGCTACTCCCCCCAGGACCCGAGCCCTGGGGACACACACCCACGGATCTCGGACGTAGCAGGGGCCGTCTCGGGCAGGGGCGCCACCTAGGACTCCGCACCTGGGGAGGTGAACACACAGACCCTGGGCCCAGCCCCAGAGCCGACCTGGGAAGCCTAGGCACTCAGCATCGTTTTGGTTGAAAACGCTATAAATTTGACTCTTCCTAGAAGCCTACTAAGCAATTCACCTAAAAACACCTGCAGCACACGTGCGACGGCGCCCGGACCACGCCTAGTCTGTGCGGCCCTCAGCCACCGAGCACCTGCCGGGGCGGGGAGGTCGGAGCCCGCCCGGGACCTGCACCGTGACACCGGCGAGGCTCCCACGTAGGCAGGACAGCGCGAGCCACACTAACCCTACAGAGAACTGTGGGAAGAAACCAAATCCATAGGATCCACGGGTTTCCACACTTGGGCGAGGTTCCCAAGACACGTGCAGTGACGGTGCCGGCAGGTGCAGGCGCCCAGCTCTGCTCCCTGCACCCGCAGCACCCAGGCCGCCTCCTGTCCTCGTCCACCTGGCTCCTGACCACGGCCCAACGTGTAAACAGTATTAATAAGCAACAGATGGAAAAATATATTTCCCAAGAAAAAAGTGGGAGGAAGTCTGGAACTTGAAGACCGATTTCCCAGGTTGCTACCATCGTCCCTTTCTCTCTTCTCGTGATTCGTTTTGGCGATTCCTCTCTTTGGTTCAGCAGCCCACGTGACCCGCCCGCCCAAGGCAGCCCCGCGGCCTCGCGCTGTGCTCCGGCTGTGGCTGCGGAGAGGCAGCCAGTCCTGTCCGCCCCAGGGGCCTCGCCTCCCGCCAGCTACTTCTGCTCGTGGTCCTCTGCCACGCTGGCCACCTCGATGGTGGCCGTGTGCTCCTCGGGCCCCGGGGCGGCCCCTGCAGGCACTGTCACAATCGTGCCACCCCCAGGCGACGCCTGGGCCACGCTCTGCAAGGCGGGGCCCAGGCCTGGCAGGGTGAGCAGCTGCAGTGGGCTGACCACCTTGAACACCGTGCTGCCGTCCTGCACGGCGGCCGTGCTCAGGACCGTGAGGCTGGATGCGTCCGGGTGAATCTCCACGGCGCTGGGGAAGGTGGAGCCCGAGGAGGCCAGGACCGTGTAGCCCCCGAGCAGCGGGGAGGCCGGTGAGCTGACAGGAGCGGCCTGAGGGGAGCCCTTGCCCAGGACCGTGGAGGGCAGGGTGGACACCACTTTGCCGAGTGGCACGCTGGTGATCGGGGAGACGGGCACGCCCGGGCCGAGCGCAATCTGGGCGGGCTGGGTGAGCACCTGCGAGGCCACGGCAGCTGGTCCTGACGTGGCCCGTGCCAGCCGGGGCCGCTTCACTGGGGGTGGAAGGGACACAGGTGTCAGCGTCATGAGCACGTTGCTGAGGTGCTGTGACTTGTGCTTGAGCTCCTTGGCGCGCCGACGGTGCTCGTCACACTGCTGCTCCAGGGCTATGGGAATGGGGGACAGCGGTGTCACCGAGGGGGATGGAGAAGGGGCAGACAGCATCACTGCAGGGGACGGGGACAGAGTCACTGCAGGGGACGGGGGGCAGACAGCATCACTGTGGGGGACGGAGATGGGCAGGGTCAGTGCAGAGGACGAGGACACCCACCATTACTGGGTGGCCCTCAGGCCAATGGCCAGCCAGGTGTGCTTGCCTCACACAACACACCCAGGTGGCCACATGGCAGCCGCCACAGGGGAAGCCAGTGGAAGGGCCCTCAGTGGCCCCTCGGACGCCCGGGGCCTGCTCTGCGTCAGCCTGCGCTCGGGCTGTGGCAGTGCTGCCAGACCTTTCTCGGGAGCTCTCGCGTGTTCCAGTCGTTATTTTTGCATGGAAGTTGCTCTCGGGATACAGTGAGATAAAAAGTAGGTCACGAGAGCACCTGCAGGTCTGCAGTGAGCACGCACATGCACACGCACGGCAGGGACAGCCCAAGGGAGAGCTGAGAGCAGAGCACGCACGTCACAGAGGCGAGCTGGCCTCTGGGTGGCCTCCCGCACTTCCCTGTCACTCTCCCTGAAGTGACTACCTGGTGCACCGCAGACAGCTGGGAACGGGAGCACCTGCAACCCCTGGACAACGGCGTCTGACTGCGCCACTCGAGTCTCGCCGACTGCTGCCTCGCACGGCAGCTGCGGGTCACTCACTGCCTGGGCTTCCGAGGAGCAGCTGTGACTCCGAGAGCCGTGTGCGCACGGCAGAGAGGCGAGCCCGTGGGCGCGGCGGGCGTACCTGCTAGGTCCCGGGCGTACTGCTCCCGCGAGCGGTCCATCTGGCACTTGTGGCTGGCCAGCACCTTCTTCACCAGGTCCAGCATGCCGAAGTTCTGCACGATGTTGTTGAGCAGCACGGCGTCTGGGAGGGGACGCGAGCGCTCGCTGAGAACCCGGGACGGGGCCGGCTGCTTGGGAGCCCAGCCGGCCAAGGGCCCCGCTCAGCAGGAGACGGCTGAGGAGCAGGCAAAGCGACCCTCCCACGCCAGACGCTCAGGCTCGGCCTCCACCCCAGCCAACCAGAGGGGCCTGAGTGCCCGACGCTGGCAACGCTGCCTTCCTGGGCTGGAAGGAGCCCCTCACCTCGGAGCTGCAGGGGGGGGTCCTGTACCCGCCGCTGGAGGCCCTTCATGGTCTCCGTCAGCTCCTGGTGGAACTCCTGCACGACCTCGTCCAGCAGCCCAGCGTCCTTCAGACCCCGCCAGAAGGAAAACGTGTCATCTGCGAGGGAAGGAGGGGCTCGGTGGGCAGGAAGAGTGTCGCCACCTGGGGCAGCCACCCCCTGGGGAGAGCAGGGGACAGCAGAGGACACCACCCGGGGTCAGCAACGTGCCCAGCCACGTGACAGCGCCTGAGCACAGCGGGCGGGCCACGGAGCTGGGCTGGGAGCACCCGAGAGGACGGCAGCCCAAGCCCGCCGCTCCCTGCAAGGCCTCCCCAGCGCCAGCTGGCTCCTGAGCCCGTGTGGCCTGCGGTGGGCCCTACTGCCCGGCCCTGCGCCCGTGAGAGGCCCGCGGGGGGCCCCGTACCTCCAATGGCTGCCGTCCAGTCGCCAGGGTCCTCACACGTCTCTATGGTGATGGTCGCAGGAGACCCGTTCGCTGCGGCCCAGAGGGAAGTCGGGTAAGCACCGCTGCAGACGGCAAGTCCACGGCCCGCTCGGCCGGCCCTGGCGCACACACCTCTCCTTCCCACCGTTCTCACACGGGCAACCGGCGCAGCGCGGGCTCGTAGGGCGCGGGCTCGGGCTTGCCTCGCATCTTTCAGTCAGACAGACCGGGGGAGGACAGGGACGCCACCCCCGGCCCATCGCCTGGTCTCAACCATTCTCCACCTTCCGCTCTTCCTGTCGTGTTCACAGCTTTACCCAACACCCCTGTGCGCGATCACGGGGCGAGGTGGGCGACCTCCTTGCCCACCTACGAGCACCTGGGCCTGCTCCACGGCCGGACCTGCCACCCGGTTCCCCTCCTGTCTTTACGCCACGTTCCCTGACGTCGCTGTAAATCTCAGCACCTGGCACGTGCCTGTTCTTCTAAATCGGAAGAGGTGGGATTTGGGAGAGACACCAACTATCTGCCCATTTCTAGGGGCAAAACCCACAACTGCTGGCCCCGCTGACATCGGGGCTCTGTGCTCAGGCCTGGCTGAGACGCACCCGCCACAGGCCGCAGTCTGGGGGCCTTTTGCTCTCGTGCTGCCTTTCCCACAGGCCTCGACGATGTGGCGGTGATGTTACTACGTACTGGGTGTTTGGGGCAGGAGTGAATGTTTTTCATAGTTTGGGCTGATACGTAATCTTCCACCCACTACACAACAGCCAGGTCAGAGGTTCTTAGAGATTTCAGGCGGAAGGAAACACCACATCGGAAGAGCTAAGCCTGAACCTGACTCTGCCTTTCCCAGGCCGAGCGGGCGTTGGCTGGAGGGCTCAGGGGCCCCATCCTTGCTGGGGAGAAGGTATGAACCGGGCTGGTCTGTCCGTGTTGGTCACCAGGGCAGCCACCACAGGGCACAGACAGGGAGCTGGGCCTTGGTCCCCCCACCGACTCCGGCCCACTGGGAGCGCCTGGCCAGCCCCGCCCCCAGCACCCAGCCTGGGCTTTGGTGCGTAGAGCGCTGACCCCCCACCTCCCCGGTGGCTGCAAACCTTCACCACTGACTGAGGACAGGGTCAACAGAGGTCAGCCCGACACATAACGCCTCTTAGGATGCCGTTCCGCGAGCTGCCACCTGCTCTGGCGGGGCACAGGGAAGGCCTGAGGTGGAAGCTGAGGCCTCCCTGCCACCCTGGCCTCACCCTCCCTCTGGAACATGGGTCAAGGGCCTCCACTAGTCCCCATCTGGGCCAGTGACAAGGACGTCCCTGGTCACACAGAAGCACACTCCAGCCCACACTGCAGAGGGACAGTTTGGGGGCAATGCAAGTGACATTGCTGGAACACGACCCTGCCAAAGATCACCCAATGACATGGTCAGGGAACTCAGGACCTAATTTCACTCTAACTTCTATTTTTAGAAGAATTTCTCTAGTCATAAAGCTGGGAAGAATTCCAGGAGTAAATTCCATTTACTCTTTCTACAATTCAGAGCTACAGAAACGCCATGGAAGAGCATCGTCACCCAAACATCCACGCAGCCGGGACGCCTGCGGCACGACGCCCAGCACAGCAGGTTGGAAGGAAGACATGCAGATCCGCAGCCGCCAGGAAATGGGGGCAGCGGCTCCAGATTTGGGGCAGGCGTAGGGTGATGGGGGTGGGGTCCAGGGTCCCTTACTGCTCCCTGCGCCCTTCTCCACATGTGATCATCGGAGCAGAAGCGGCTTAGAAAGAACAGAACTTCACCTTTCCTGTCACTGAAAACGCAGCGCGGTGGCTCCCTTTGTGAGGAGGGCGGAGGCCGAGCCCCGACATCGCAGGGCCCTGGCGGGAGCAGAAACCTGATGCCAGGTCGGGACGAGCCACGCTGACCTGTGCACCTACCGTCGGCCGCAGCAGGCGTGAGCGGGATGTACTCGGCAGATGCCGGGCTGCTCAGGGACACCCGGGCTCCCGAGAGGTCGATCTTGGTGCTGCGGCAGGTATTGGAGCAGACCTTGTCATGCTGGTAGAAGTCCAGCTCCCCGGAGTCCATGATCTTCCTGGGGCAAGGGACAGAGGACCGGGGGGTCCAGGTGAGGCCCACGGCCCAAGAACCTCATCCAGCCGCCTGACGTGGGCCACCGCCTGCATCGGGGCAGGTCCCAGCAGAGTTGCTACCCAGGTGGGCTCCACGAGGCAGGGCTGGGCTCTGCTCTCCTCTTAGCAACGCTCTGAGCATGGGAACCCACAGCTGCCCAGGCGCTGTGGGGTGGGCCCTGCCCGGAGGTCCTGGGTCTCAGCCCGGCCTGCCTCGATGAGCTGCCTCAGCCCGTGAAAGGAGGGTCAGAGGCTCCAGCCTCACTCGGCCCGTGGGCACCTGCTGGGCTGGTGCTTCTGCGCGCAGCTCCTCCACTGGTGGTCTCCGCAGCTGCGCCACCAGCCGCGTTCTAGGAATCGAGGCTCTGCAGCAGGGGGCCAAGGCGTGGGCAAGGACCAGGGCCAGCGCTCCGGAGGCCCCGGACTCCGACACAGAGCAGCACCCTTGCTCAGGAAGCATGGCGGAGGCCAGGCCCACTGGTCACCCTGTCCCTGTGGCGTCTGGAGCCTCCAGGCACACAGATGCAGGCTGTGGTTCACAGGTACAAAGAGAGCAACTGCACACACCTCTCACGTATGTCAGGAAAAAGTGATGGAAAGGACAAAAACAGAGAACATAAAAGGCCATGCTAAGAGATTAAGTATGACGCCTACACCTACCTCATGCACAAACGCCAGATTATACCCTCAACTTTCTAACAGTGAAATAGCCACAAGTGCTCCAGGTAAAAAACTGGTGGAAATCACAATGTGTCCATGTTGGTAGGGACATGGGCAGGTGCGGCCACTTGGGAGATCGTTAGCACTCACAGCTAAAACGGGCCTTGTCTTCAAAATCCCAAAAGCAAATGAAAAAGCAATGGCAGCTGTGTCCCCTTCTGCCAGGAAGGGCCGCCTGGCCCCACGGCCCACCACCGGGCTGCAGAGGCGCCCGCGACACCCACCTGAGCATGATGCCATTCATGCGGATGGCTCTCTTCCAGTCCTTCAGGGTGGACTTCCCTGCCAGGTGCACGAATTCCTTCGGGCTGATCACATGCTCGTCGTACTGCGGAGGGAGCACAGCAGACGGTCAGGCTCCGCGAGGCAGGCGGGGCTCACCCTCCTCCCCGGCACGACCGCTGCAGAGCACCGGGCAGAACAGGACATGCCCCCTCAGCACAGCGGCTGCCGTGCAGAATGGCTCTGTGGCCTCAGACCCGAGTGCTGCCCCCGGCTGTGAGAGAGCCCAGTGGGCAGGGTCAGCTGGTTGGAAGCCATGTGGCCCTCTCTTCTCAGCAAACCTCTTTTGCGCTTATTCCATAATAATACGTATGTACATGACACCCTCACGTGGCAAAGGATGCCAGCATGCAGATTGAGCTATGAAGGACCCCTTGGTCTGGCCCAGCCCCTCAACACCACCATCCCCTGTGCTGGAAGCTCACGGCACCTGTTCTCACGCTGGTGCACGTGTCTGTTTCAAAGCCAGGGAACCATGACTCGCGTGGCTCTGGGGCTGGCTAGTTTCACCCTACTTGGTGCTCAGAGAGCCTGAGAAGAAAAATATCCTATCATCTTGTTAAAAGAGCAATGATTGGAACCAAAGAATGAAAATAAAACTGTGGTTACTCAGAAAATAAGCAGGCTGGGGAAGAAGGTCTCAGAGCCCAGGCCAGTCTGTGGGGCGCCTGTACGCTTACTCTCACGAACACCCACGCCACGGATGAGGCCACGGAGCCTAGCAGGTGCCAGGCCTCGCGCAGCTGCTCGGGGAGACCAGATGAACGTCCAGGTAGGTGGAGTCTGGCAGACCCTCCAGCCACTGCCCAAGTGCAACGAGAAGCCCAAGCTGGTGGCCCTGACTGCGGCCCCTCCTGGCCACCACCATTGCCCCCCATAGCTCACACTGGGGTCACCTGGCTGCACCAGACAGGCTGCTCCCACTGCAAGTCCGGGGCCAGCCCCGCCTCCCCGTCCAGCACTGCCTTCCTCCTGTTTCGCCTTCCTCGGGGCTGCTGGCAACTCCCTCCGGGTCATCCCTCCTAGCTGGGGAGCTGCGTGCTCCTCTCCTTAGGGGGCCCTGCACGCGTCTCTCGCTCCGCTGGGCTGTCAGAGCCCAGAGCCGACGTGGCCTCTCCCGAGTGCTGCCGTTGCCACCTGGCCCCACAGTGACCTTTAGAAGCCCCCGAGATGCCATTCTGGACGCCGCGCAGTGTCGGCTGCCAGGATTTACCCTTGTTTCTCCACCCTGACCCCCAGGCCTTCTTGTGCTTCGGCACCTCTATCTGAGTCACCTTCCCCTAGCCTGAAATACACATTCAGAACATCTTTCAGTGATGACGTGCTGGTAGCAAACTCAGTTTTGTCTGAAAATGTCTTTATCTCAGCCTAATTCTTTTCTTGTTTTTAGAGATGGGGTCTCGCTGGTGCCCGGGTGGGGGGTGCAGTGGCACGACCACAGCTCGCCGCAGCCTCGGGCTCCACCACCTAGTCTGAGCGCCCACGCACCTCTGGCCTCACCATTGCTCCCGCACTTTGCAGCTGGTGTTCTGACGTAAGAGCTGACTGAGCTACACGTTTACTTGACATAAATAATTGATGGGAAATATACTGCAATAAATATGACCCCCCAGATTTTATTTCACTTGAGGTAAACTTCATGACTATCATTATTTATTTTGATGTTAAACTCTCCCAGATGGAGGTGGTGGGGTCTTTTCATCCACCTGGGGACTCGTCAGGACTCTTGCACCGTGGACTCTGTCCCTCCTCGATCATGAGAGTTCCGAGCCGCTCTCTCCTCCTTCCAGAACTTAAACAGACGGGTTAGACTTTCTCATGCTCCTATTTTTCTTCTTTTTATTTCTGAGGACTATATTCTGAATGATTTCTTTAATTCTATCTTCCACTTCACTAATTATCTCTTCAGCTATGTCTCATCTGCTATAAGAAACCTAGCCGCTAAATGTTTATTTTTTGTGGGTTTTTTTTTTTTTTTTTTTT